TGAGGGAAGCAGAATTAGGCAGAAGGAGAAGCTGAACTGCAATATGTTGCAACAGAGGCCTCAGACAATCCCACAGAAAGCTCTGGAGCTGGAGTAGCATTTAGAGTTAGAATCAAGGCAGGGTGGGTCTTATCTCCCTGCAGGGATGAGTCACTGGATGTGGGCTGCCCCAGAGTGGGACAGTGACCATGGCCTGGGCAACTCCCTTACACTTGAGGCAATTCCACAGTGACTCACTTGTGACCATCACCAGCTGGGGGAATGAGCACCTAAGTCCTGAGGGACTTTGGTGGCATCTTTAACACCAACTTGTTAATATTTTTTGACCTGAAGGTGTACTCAGGTGAACTAAGAGATAGATATGACAATATAAAAAGAGCGAAGAGTTTTCCCAATTCATTTTTAACCACAAACCCTACATGGCTATATATTTCAAATAAGCCATGGGGCAAAGATTTGTCCCTTGGTTTTCCATCTCATTCTTTTTTTTTTTTTCTCTCTCTCTCCAGGAAATGCCTTCCACAGCCTGCTGGAATTGTTGTAGAAAAAAATTGTTGTCACATGCCCAGGATAATTTAGGCACGTGGACACATTGTACGGTGAGTAGGGCAGGGTTTATTGGGTGAAAAGGAAAGAATCTCTCAGCAGAGTGAGAGGAGTCCTGTTAACAGACCCTCCTCTCACAGATTGAATCCCAGGTCACCACCCAGGAACTGGGGAGGCTGGGCTCCTCCCTCTGCAAACTGCTCCAACTTCCCGAGTCTCCACCCCCTCCTCCCAGTGCACAGGCTGGTGGAAGATCCTCCAAGGACCATCCCCCTTATCTTCCTCCTGCATCCATCAGAATGTCCTACTACAATTTATGACCACTCAGAACAGCAACTGGCACATTCCCTTTCTATTTTTCTTAACAATGACTAACCTCACTTGCAAGATTAGAATACTGTGCTGGGAGGGTTAGCAAAACAAAAAACTCCCATTTCTCTTACTGAAAAGCAAAATTAGGCCATTTTACTGAGCGGAGATGTAGTGATAATTTTCTGCATCTCTAAAAGCTTTCTTGAGGATAGAATAATTCCATCATCACAAGTGGGATATAATAGACCCTTTGGATCTGGAAGGGCTGTGAAGGAGAGCACGTGAAGGAAAGTCTCATCTCTTACTTTATGCTATTCTTTTTCACAAAGAGCACATAAAGACCCTTAAGATTATTTATTTGAATCAACCATCAAGTCGATTCCATTTTTGTTTTCCTTAAGAATGGTGAAACCACTCAGTGATAGACACTGTTTGTCAATAAACCCTTCATAATAACGTCTACCTGGGGCTGGTAGACATTTGTCTGTTAACTAAGTCTACAAGTTAATGTGTGTGGAGTGATTGCAATTAATTGTACATGAAAATGAGTGAATAGAAGAAAAGACTGATTGCAAATTAGCTCTTGGAGGTAAAAATTCAGGTAATTTAAACTTTTCAATTGACATTTTATTGCTTGCATTTTCTAAGCCTTCTTCAATGAGCATGGATCACTTTTATAATTAAACAAAATAAATGCTGTTACAAATCAATGAATGTTATGGTACATATACCATAGGAACACAAACTGAAATATTAACTATTATTATTTCTAGAAAGGAGGAATTGGATAATGAACAATATCTTTTTCTTTCTTTAGTGTTTCAGATTTTTGCTCACAATTTTTTTTTTGCATGTCACAATGGAATAAAAATTTTTCATTATTTCCTTAAAGAGCTCAGGGAAGGAGGCTTTGTTGTTTGCTTTATTTTTAAATTAAAAGTGCACCTACCATGTCTTCACCCAGGTTAGCAAGTCCTTTGGAAAGTTCTCTTTACTTAGCCTAAGCCCTACTGCTGCTGGGGTAAAGCAAGCACATCTGGTGGTCTAGCTAGTAACATGAGTGCTGCTGAGACTTTGGGCCTGGGGAATGGGGGCAAATTATAAAATTCCTGTATTCCTTCTGGTGGAAGAGGGGAAGAAAGTTGAATCCCTCGCGAGTGAAAATCTCCCTCTGGTCTGTAATATAGTGAAGTACGCACTTGGTCTTCATCCTTGTTTCCTGACACGTAACTCCTAAAATCAGTGGAATCCCAAAGTGAAGTGTCATTTTGTATGCTAATGAGTTGATGGCTGGCAGACCCTGGGTAGCTTCAGGATGGAGCTGGTCACCAGAAAGATGGAGGCAGCATCAGAGGGTTAAGACTTTCAGCCCCACCCCTAACATCTGGAGAGGGGAAAGGGGCTGTAGGTTAAGTTGCTCAAGGATGGCCAATGATTTAACCAATCCTGCCTACTGATGAAGCTTCCAAAAAAACCAGAATGGACTGGGTTCCAGAACTGCCAGACAGCTGAACACTGGAGGTTCCTGGAGGTGGCAGCCAGAGAGCCTGTTCCCTCACTACCAATACCCTTACCTTGCTCTTCTTTTTCTTTTTGCACAGCAGTGATCACCTTCTGACCCACTGTGTATTAATAGTTTACTCTCACTGTTGGCTCTGCCTTTCTGACCCACACACAGAGCCTAAGCTCCTGAGGGCAGGAATCTGTGTTTTGTTGGGTGATACATCCAAAGCGCCTCACAGAGGCTGACACGTAGGGGTTCAGTACACACTTTGGATGAATCTATGCTTATTGGAATAAAAGGACGGATGAGATACATGAAGTGAAAAAAGATGAAAAGACAGCATATATACCATGAAAGGAAAATAAAAACTCAGGACCCCAGAGCAATCTGCCAGAAGGGAAAAACGAAGCTGAAAGCTGAGTCATGCAAGAAGCTGCCTTTCCTTTTGTTCCGAAGCAGAGAGCTACAGAGAAAAGGCTAGGCAGCTCCTCTATGTTTACCCTATCTTACGGGAAATGCCGATTTACTGAGCACCAGAAAAACACATAATGGGCTGTCCTCCTACCTGCTCCTTTTCTCTTGTAACATGTGGATTCAGTAATGAGATCACACCCTCCCCTTTCCCACCCCCAGCCCACTTTTTCCCCCTTTAAATATTGAAACCTTCAACATCATCTTCAGAAAAAGGCACAGACCACAGACTTTCTGTGATCCCATGTTCTTTCCTTCTGGGAATGTCCTTCACCTTGGCAAAATAAACTTCCAAATTGATTGCGACTTGTCTCAAGATACTTTTCTGCTTTAAAATAGCATAACTGTGATTAAAAGAAATTAGTGTGTGGTGCGGTGGGGGGGGGTGGATGAGAGTCTCCAAGACACAGTAAGTGCCAATGTCGATTATAGATTTGGGGATTATGGGTGATTTTATTTGCTTCATTGTTTGTTGGACTATCTGAATATTTCTTGGTATGCAAGCTTAACCTTTATGATGATACAAAAATGTTTCTTTCAATTTAAAAAAGAGGAAGAAAAACAGGCGGGTCCTGAACCAGCCATGAGCAGCCAAGGGGCCTGGAGATAGCACGATTGGAGCCAAGTGGGTGTCATGGCGGTGGAGGCAGCCCTTGACCTTGACCATGGACTGTCACTGCTTCCTGCAAATGTCAACGCCACCCACACTGGCAGTCATCCCTGGGGATTGCTTCCTTTGATAGGTCTGGAATCTCCATGTCATCAGTGCTCCTTGCAATAACATCTTCCTCCCACTGGTCACCGCACTCTCCCCAAATCAGGTAAAGCCTGTTGTCAAATGGTGCAATGTTCCATACTGCTGTAGTCTGAACCTCAGCTCAAGTGGTAAGTTTGCATATTAAGATGCGAGAGGCCGGATGCTGTGACTCGCACCTGTAATCCCAGCACTTTGGGAGGCCAAGGCCGTCAGATCACCTGAGGTCGGGAGTTCAAGACCAGCCTGGCCAACATGGGGAAACCCAGTCTCTACTAAAAATACAAAATTAGCCAGGTCTGGTGGCACATGCCTGCAATCCCAGCTACTCGGGAGGCTGAGGCAGGAGAATCGCCTGAACCCGGGAGGCGAAGGTTGCGGTGAGCCGAGATCGCGCCATTGCACTCAAGCCTGGGCAACAAGATCGAAGCTCCCTCTCAAAAAAAAAAAAAGTGAGGAAATTAAAACTGGTTTTAAGATTTCCTGTCCAGGAGTGGCCTGGAGCATGTTAGCCTACTGTTCTCACTAAGAGCTGCATCTACGTCCTGTTATCCCCACAGAAGAAGAAGCTGCTTTCCTGAGTACGGGTTCGCAGTCAACGCAATTCTGCATGCTCCTAGGAGGGAACCAGAAATGTGATGGGCGGCACTGGTGACCAGCCAGCACCTACAGGCCCGCACATTGCCAGGTGTGCTGAAACAGCAGAACCATAGCCCTCATTTTTCCCCTGGAGTACCATCCCCCCTGCAGCTTTCACTCAGGCATTCAGTTGGACTCTAGCCAGGCTGACCTGCAAGGAACTAGGATGAAGCGATTGTGCACCAGATTTCTGGGCAGCAGGTGGGCCTGAGGTGTAGGAAAGGCAATGATGAGTGATGTCTGGCCCGTGCTTCCGACTTTGCATCATGTTCTCAGCATGGCGCTCTGGGAAGCTGCTACCTATTGATTATGTTAGTATTGCAAGATGTAACCTCTTCACCATCTGGGGTTTGTCATTAATTTGTATTTAGAATGGTAAACCCCTTACCTCCTGTGCCTTCACACTTCCTGTCTACTCGTCTTACCTAACATTTCTCCATAGCACTTATTACTATCCAAAACACTGTACATTTAGCTTACTGTCTTCCCCCAGGATGTAAGCTTCATGAGGCAGGGATTTTGTCTCTTTTATCTTCTGCTGTATTTCCAGTCTGAGAACAATGCCTGGCACACAGTAGAACCTCAATAAATACCAAAAGGAAAGGCAAGGAGAGGAGAGAAGAGGGGAGGGGAGAGTAGGGGAGGGGGAAGGAAGGAAGGAAGGAAGGAAGGAAGGAAGGAAGGAAGGAAGGAAGGAAGGAAGGAAGGAAGGAACGAAGGAAGGAAGGAAGGAAGGAAGGAAACGGAGAGACAAGGCATCAAAGACAACAGATGCATCTTTATAAAGAACGTGTCCATTTATTTTATTATTTTAAATCTGAACTTTCGTAAAATGACAGTTACTTGCATTTAGCTCCAAATGTTTTTGTGATGTGAACTGGAGACAAGCCCAGGTTTGGACCTTTGCATCTTCCTATCAGGTCCAGCGGCTGCACCATTCAGCCCTGTAACTTAATTTGCATCTGCTGAGACTGTGGCAGCCCCATTGCAAGTGACTCAGTTTTCTGAGTCACTAGTGATAGTAGGTAGGGGATGCCGTGCTCCTGACTGCATTTCTCTTACAGCTGGTCAAAGTCAGAAATGATGGTGAAGTACAGGAGGGTGCCCCAGGGCATGTGGGAATGCTTGCAGTGCCTGAGAACTCTGCGGTGGAGAGACCCCAGTGGGGTTCCGATACCTCAAAAGGATGCAGCTTAAAAGAGGACCTAAAAGAAACTTAAGCTTGAAGTTTCTGAGAAGTAGCATCATTTCTCTTCCTTCCTACACCCATTCTCTCAGCCTCTTTCTTTCTACACATATTCCCTCTTTAAGACCCCATCAAGCCGGGCCCCTGCAGACAGACAGCACGCCGTGTGGGGGTAGGAACGCGCTTGCGTGCACGTGCGTGTCTCCGCTGCCGTGCCCTCCTCTGCTGCAGGCTGAACTGCTCACACGTTGGTGTGCTGAGAACCTGACGACATCACGCTGCCTGGCTGGCTTTGGCCCGAAGGTGCTGAGCTGGCTGCCCGGCTCCTGCTTCGATCCCCACCTCCTGGGCTCCTCAAGGCCGGCTCATGCATCAGCTTGAGCTTCTCGTGCTCCTCTTTCAGGAAGAAGTCCACTAATAAGCTCTTCTCTTTCTTGATCTGGTCGCTGATGTCCGTGGGGATATCTGGAATCATCCAGTCCACGAGGACGCTCAGGAACATCACGAGGTTCTGCAGAAAGCCAAGCAGAGAGGGGCCGAGTTGGAGAGGCCTGGCCCGGCGAGGTGGTGACCCTGGAGCAGAATGCCTCCATGTCAATCCTGGCTTTGCAACTTACCAGCCCAGTGATCGCAACCAATGAGCATAACTCTACCTTGGTGTCCTCACCCATAAAATGCAGTGGCAACAGTGCCTACCCTGGAGTGGCTGTCAGGATGAAATGGGTTAATACATGTGGGGCATCTGCAGCAGTGCCTGGCACAGAGCAGGACTCCGTCAGTAGTAGCTACTGCTTCTTCCCTTCACCAGGACTTGTGCCCCCACACCATCCTCAGAGTGTTCCCATGTGTCCAGTTCTTGCTTCTTGGCCTCTAAGCCTCCAGGCCCTCCGTGCTTTAGAAAATGGAAAGTGGTTTTCTAGAAAGTGGCGACAAAGCCCAGTGGCTTCTCCTGGGCTGTCACTGTGCCACTTGCTCCTCTCCTCCCTCCATCTGGCTCTCTCTATCCTCTACACTAGAGACGGACTTGGGGTTTTCGCATTGACTTCGGGCCTTCGCTGACCCAGTGCACTGCTGACATTGACCTTACACCGTTCTCAGTCACTGCAGCCACCCCGGCTAACCCTGCCTCGCTGGGAACCCCTGCGTCCAGCTTGCCTCGATCGGGTCTAGGCTTTGGCACACACTTGCAGTAGTCTTCCTTCTGGCTGCTAAGCCACATCCCTTTGCTGGTGCACACGGTAGGCTAGGACTGCTTCTCCCTGGAGGATTTACTGTCTCAGTGAATGAATACATGACAGCAATGCGTGGCACGGCTCAATGAATGCATCTGATTCCCATCCAATTCCCCAAGCCACATTTCACCCAGCTTTACCCAACACACTCCTCCCATTGTGATACTCTTCTCTGGCTGCCAGTTACGCACTCACATGCCTTTTCCCCTCTGGGACTGTGACTGAGCCCTTGAACCCTACATGTTCCTAGGGGTTCAGGGGAAGACGCTGGGGACCAACTGCTGCTTCCAGAGGCTCCTGGGCATCCTGGGTGCTTGCGAGCTGCTTCACCAAGTCACACACTCTTCCTCTCAATTCATTCCTTCCGGCGTGAGTGGAATGTCACATGTGACATATGGGAAAGTGAGGAGACTCTGGGGTGTGAGGCAGCACGGGATGTCTGAGCGATCATTCAAACATATCGCCCCCATCTCTCCAGAGGAAGAATGGCTGTCTTCTTTAGGTGAAAGACTAGCCGATGGGCTTCTCCACTTTCTGGGCCGGGGTCTGGGGGCAGGATACTTTAGAGCCCCCCAGAGATCTGCCTTCAGGGAATACAAAAGCCTGAAGGAGCCAAAGAGAAAAGGATCTGGGCTCGTTCTTCAGCCCTGCTTGAAGACCGGGGGCACCCAGAGTGGGAATTGGGGGCCCTCAAGCTCAGAGAATCTCAGCGATGCAATTGGAGCTGTGGCTATTGTCCCAGATAGGAATCACTGGGCTCGAGTTTGCTATTCATTCAGGGATGGCTCGACGGCTCTGGGGGCCCTTCCCACCAGATGTCTCAGTGGCTGAAACAACACTAACAAAGGAGGGAGCCCAGAGTGCAAGCAGAAAGGTTCCAAACCTGAGTTCTTTCATGATTGCAGAGATGAGATGGGGCTGTTTGTCTGCCCCAGGCTGGGACTCTGGTTTCAATGGCCCCTTTCCTTTCTTAGCCTTAGGTTTAAACAGGAATCTATCTTCACCCTGCAACTTACTCCACATCTGTCTTGTAACCTTACACTGTGTTTTATTCTCTGTCTGCAAAGTCCACCCATTAAAGAAAGCCCTCTCAAGAGTCCTCCTGGCTCACCCAGGAAGGAAGCCCTCACTTCTGCCTGCCACACATGAAGCTTTCTTATGTCACAGAGTACCATGGGAACCTGGAGGTAGGTGCAAGAAATGAGTGCAGTATCCTTACCCCTGCAGCTCGGATTTGAATGGGCTGTTCCTTATCCCAACAACTCACCTGGAAGATGATGACAAAAGCCAGACGGGCGGACAGAATAAACCAGTACTGTTTGGAAAACTCATAAGGGTTCGGGGCCCAGGGCGGCTCTCGGTAATCCTTAAACCTGCCCAAAGAGAAATGTGGTGTTAAGATCGGGAGGGGATGGAGAACAGGGTGGTAATTCTCTGGGTGAAACCTCAAGGGCTGGCTAGAGCATCAGGCATGCATGCCCTTGGCGCTGACTTGGAAAATAGGGGGAAGTGGGCAAAATCTATGGCCTAACCAACAAATTTCCAAAAAGGACTGAAGTCCAAAAAAGCCAATGTCAGCCTAGAAATGTCCTAAAAAGATGTTTCTACGACTCTCTCCAATAGCTCCCAAAGCTTACTTTGGTGTCAGGCTTCAACTCCCGAAGGAGCCCAGGGCATCTGAGGGTAGTCCAGGCCAGTGGGTCCACCTGGGCCTCCCACTAGCCTGTGACCTCTGTGTGGGTAGGGGAGACCCAGACACCCTGCATGGTGCTCTGCAGCCAGGGGGCTCGGGGAAGAGGCAGACACCAGCAGGCAGTCTCGGGCTTCTTCCCCTTCCAGATGCTTCAGGACTACAGCCACCAGAGGGGCTGGCCTGGTTTCATGGCTGCATTGTGGAACCAGAAAGAAGGCTGATCCAGACCAAGCTGGAGGCTGAGTGAATTTGGGATGGGAGGGTCATGAAGCATCATAGTTGATCAGTCTTGTGTTTTGCTAATCATGTTCCTGATCTGTCTGCACGGTTTAAACAATAAAATGTTAATGCCTGACCTGAGCTCGTGCCTCTTTCTCAGACCCACAGAGAAGCCTTGGGTTTTCCCTCACCCTTGCCTTTTCACCCCCATTCCAGAATGATTCATGTGAAAACTAGCTCATTTCCTCAGACTCACATTTTTCTAAGCCTGGAATAATGGCAAGAGGCTGGTACCAGAACTATGACCCTTCCTGGAGCAGTTTTCTCCATGGAATTCAACAGCTCTTTGCTGCTCAATAAAAGCAAAGCAAGTCCTGGGCTACAGAAAGAGGTGGGTGGTGTCAGGCCACCAAGCAGTGACAGTGGCTGCCAAGGAAGGCAGGCAGGGACTCCGCCCAGGTCAGTCCCTGAGCAAAGGGCTTTTCTGGAAGGTTTCACATTTCATCTTCACTATAGCATCCTCAGGCAGGCATTGTTACCCCAGCATAACACAGGAGGAACCTGAGGCTTGGAGAAGTTGAAGTGTGTGGCCAAGGTCTCGTGACCAGTAAAGGCAGAGTCAGGGTAGGAATGCGAGTCTGGCTGAATCTGGGCTTTCTTTCCGTTATCATAGGGCACCTTACCAATGGCCACAATGTAGGGGCATTCAGAAGTAGGTGCTCTTTGGTCCTTCTCCTGCCATAAATGAATTAGCTGCTCTAAAAGGCCCACATAAAAGCCTGTTGGTTTTCCGTTGTCCAAAGAGATGAGAGAAGAAGAGAAGAGGAAGAGGAAAAGAGATGCACATACAAAGATAGAAAAGGGTGCAATGATAAGAGTCAGCAACAGAAAGACACAACTGAGAAGTAGACACTGGGGACTCGACTAGGGTTTGGCAGGAGGCCAGGAGCTACCCTCTCCCTGCCCGACTCCCCCTCTCCCAACAGCTGATCACAGCTGCCGCACGTTTGGTTTGACATCCGGATGAAAAGCAAAGCTGACTGCAGCCCAGCAGAGCACCACAGGATTCATCATAACCACCCTCAGCTGAGGACAGAAACACGGCCAGCTCCAGATTATCCTTGCTGATGGGAGAGAGGGAGAGCGTGGCTAAGTGAATGAGAACATCTTGGGGTGGGAAAAACCTCAGACTCACCTATCCTCCTGTTGCCTCCAGACAGGACGCCATGGCAGCAGGCAATTTATCTCACTCTTCTAGAGACCTCCAGAGGAGGGTGACACACACACACGCACTCCTTACCATGGGGAAATCCTTCCCCAGGTTCAGCCCAGTCCCTACTGCTACAATCAAAGTCCATTTCTCTTGTTCTCTAGCTCCATCTCTGCAGGAACAGCTGCTCGCTGACCTCAGTATGCGAGCCACTGCTCACCCCTCTTTTTTCCAGTCTGAAAAGAATCCATAAATAATCTAATTCTGGTTCCACCTCTGCTATTAACTCACCCCAGCTTTTGGGAATGTCACTTTGTCCTCCCTCAGTGTCTAAAACATGTTTCGAGTCTAACAAGCATATCCATCTAATCGAGGATCTGCAGAAAGATTAACACAGAGATCTGTACAGAAAATAGCTCGAATGCAGACAGGCTAAGTGTGGTTCTGTTAGGAACTGATGGTAAGCCATGCCACAGAAAAGAACAGTGAGCAATTTAATATTCATCTGCTCACATTTCTTTCCAAAGCTAACTTTATAAAAACTATGACCTACAGTGAGAAATACATTTTACACTCATGCACATACACAGACTGCAATAAAAACTACACAAAACATACTTTGCTGTGTGCAATGCACTAGTATTTTCCTATTCTACTCTATCTGATCCTAACCCACCCTATTCTTTAAAATGCCGATCATGACCCACTAAAGTGATTTCATAATTCACTAATGAACCATGACTCATAGTTTGAAAAACCTTGATTCTCCTAAGCCCCGACCACCAGGTAAATGACTCGCTGTTTACATTCCAATGTAAGTTCAGATTTCACAATTGTTTTTAAATTTTACCCTAAGAAGTCAGGCTTATCAAATGTTTCACTGAGTAACTCAGAAGACACTAATTAAACCAAGAGATAATTAGCTTTAAGAATAGAAGTGTTCACCAAAGAGAGTGGCTAATCAACCTAATTACTTCCACCACTGTGATGCTGAGTGTTTTGTTTCTAAACACAGTGCTTAGCACTGGCAACAGTTTGTGCTTTGGAGGCAGCAGGTGAGGGGTTGAAAGCCCCGACCAGCACTGTAGTTCTCTGTCCTCTTGCAAGTTACCTAACATTCTGATGCCCAGCTTTCTCAACTATAAAATGGGCCTGAACTTTCCACCACAGAGTTGTTCTGAAGACGGAGGGTCAACACCGAGTGCTCCGCACACTATCTGGCCCATCAGAGGACCCAATAAATAGCAGCTGTTCTTTCTCTTTTTACTGGAAGTTACTTATGGAATACACCTTTTCGGTTAAAAGACGACAGAGCATGTAGACCACGGCTTCCAGTTCCTCCTAGCTTTCCAGGAGGATTTTTGAGCATGCAAGCACTAAATGCTGTAAGTTTTAGTGCAAATCAGGAGTCAGCCAAGGGCACAGCTGCACAGGGCTTCTCTCAGGACCTCTGTCCAGGTAAATAGCATGAAACGGACAAGTGCTGGCTGGTGGGTGGAGGCCACAAGACAGCTCCACAACAGACCTGTTCCCATGGCTTGGGGAGCTCGGGTCTCCCAAAGTCCCACTGAGTTCCCCAGCATTGGGTGAGCCCCTACATCTGGGCAGCCTCCTGCAGCTGCCAGCCGTGGCCCCCAAAGAGATGCAGAGTTTAATCCCCGGCATATTATTTTAGGGACATTCCTGGATCTCACCCTCACCCCTCCAGTCCTCCTTCATTTTCCTTGAGGCTTAACATAAAGTTTGAGAGTTCCCCTGAGTTTTCTAATAGGGAGAGACTTCCAATAATGAGACAGCTAGCCTGTCTAAAAAAAAAAACCTAGTCTGCATCTGGATCAGCTATGCCACTTACTGAAGAGCCCGAGGAAGTCATTCCACATTTCCGAACCTAGGTCCCGGATCTACAGAGTGCAGCTCCCAAAATGTGTATCCCAGTGCTGAGCATACAGGAGCTGTCTCAATCTCAGCCAGGAGTGAATGAATAGATGTGCGTGCGTGCGTGTCTGTGTGTGTGTGTGTGCGTGTCTATGTGTGCGTGCATGCGTGTCTGTGTGTGCGTATACCTTGCGTGTTAAAGGAAGACGCTGTGAGAATTAAGACAATCTATGTGAATATGATTTCTGGAGCTTCTGCAGAAAATGAACACAAGTTTCTTCTGGGAGAGAACAGCTGGGATGGGAGCTGAGAAGTGACCCTTTTCTTCTCATATACATACATAATACGTGTCTATGGAATTACTTTTATAATTAAAAAGTTCAAAATGGTAAAAGATGAACGTAATTAATGGCAATGCACAGTTGATTCAAGTACATTTTTATATTAAGCTTTCCTGAGCAAAATTATAGTGTTAATTTCGACAGACTCATATATGAAACTGACACAGAAATCAACTTAATAGTTTAGCTTTAAAATTATGTTAATATTTTATCTAGATTGTTCTAACTTTGTGAAAAATCACATTGATTGAATTGAATTTGTACATGACTTAAATAAGATTTCCATTAACTCAAAATATCTTTCATTGTAAAATGAAAACAATACCTTAAAAGTTCTACAAGTTAATACCATGTTAATGCATAGAAAAATGCCTAGAAAACATTCACCCATAAGTATAACCCTATTACTGTCGGAAGGATGCCTGGGTTGGGCAGGGGTTAGGGTGGAGGCAGAACAGAGGTGGAGTGGTTGCCTGTAATGTTTAGAATTTTTGTAGAACTAGATTAATAAATGACATGTCATTAAACCTGAAGTTTTTCGAAAAGAATCTTTGAAGATTTTTTTATTCCAAAGCCCCCATTTTTACAGATGAAAAAACTGAGGTACAGAGAGGAGAGAGACTCAGGGCTCAGATGTCCTCATCCTGTCCTCACTTGCAGGGTGACTCGTGACAGTGACATCTGCCACAACTCATCACAACACAAAGTCACTGTGGGCAGGGATGGTGCTGAAGTCAACGATCAGTAACAGCTTTTTAATGAGCTTTTGTGATGTAATAAATCAGCTAGTAAATGCATTTCTCAACTCCAAATAGCGGCGCGTAAAAAACATTTTAATAGCCCCAGTGGAAATTAATGTCATATTAATGTTGAACACAACTACATACAATATTTTCATACCATCTGAGCTACTTAAGACTGCCTTCTGGAACTGGCCCTTAACAAAGGAAAACAGTACAGGCAATTAGGAACTAATGAGTAGCATGTCAATCCAGTGGTTGATAAGAATCAGGAAAGATGACACCCAGAAAAGCTAACAGCCTCTGGTTTCACTGGGGAGCAGAGGGGAGGCAGCCATGGGCTGGAAGGGAGCACCCTCTTCAAAGGCTTTTCTCAGGATATGAGGTGTGCAAGCCCTTAGGACCTGCAGGAAAACCTGGCAGGAGCCATCCACAGAAGCTGCTGCTGGAAGCTCAACAAACACCTCCAAGCAGACCCGTTGGGTGGACCATGCCCGGGTAGGCTCTTCAAGCTCTGAGACAGGATCTCTCTGCCCCGTTCCAGCTGAGCTGGGAAGTCAAGCCCACATTCGTCCTCCAGGATGTGGCGGCCCCTCGACCCTGTCAAATGGTTGCTAATCGTGCCTGCAGATTGATGTCACGGGACTGTTTACGGAGCAGCCCTGCCAGAGCAGTCAGATGACTGAGGCAAGCATCGCTCCAAAATGCTGGGAATGCATCTCAAACGGGCAGCCGGAGACTTGTCCTAACTTTTATTGCTATTTTTAAGATACCTCTATCCCTGGCGAGGCTGGGTTGGAGCCGCAGACCTCAGTTTTATTTGACCACATTTATCTCCAGAGGTCACTGAAAGCTAAGAATAAGAAGGGTCAACAAGTTCCCAACGTTATTTGCCAGAAAATCATGGCAAACCTCGTTTCCCACCACGGAAGCAGTTTTAACTGGCTCTAGGACTAGCTGAAGAGTTATCTCTGTTTCTCAAAATATTCCTCTATCACAGTCCCTTCTCCTCCTCCTCCCCTCTCTCTTTCTTTCTCTCTCTGTCTTCCATGTACATATAAATGTATATGGAATTATCTCAAGCATCTCAATTCCTGACTCAGAAAGACATCATAGAGGTTATGCCTCTGCTTTCTAAATCTCCAGAGAATTGAGTGACCCAGACAAGTTCACACAGCAGGCAGTGGACGGGACTCACATAAGGCAGAGATTTCCATCAACAACCCTTATCAATCTAGGAAACGTAGTCCCCAGAGCACGCCTATTTGACATATTATGTCTAGATCACCTGCTGACCCTATTTTCTGAACATCTACCTACATTTCACAGTAGGGCATCTCTTTATGTTAAACGGAACCCTCAGTGTAACCCCATAGTCTTCACACTGTAGGCACAGACATAACACCAATAAAAAGCCTGATCTCATCACTGCCCTCTGAAACACCTGCAGTGGTACCCTGTGACCCTACGAGAGGCTCCACGCACCTCAACAGGACCAGCATCCTCTCCTTAACATGGAGTTTGTTTTTTCTTTCAGCCTCCTCTCTCATAGCTTACCCCTCTCACCTGAGCCTATCTCCCTGGAATACAGTATTCTCTCGGAACCTCCGTCACCACCTGACACAGCCCTTGCTGCCCCGTGGCCCACCACCCTCCCCACCCTGCTTACCAGTCAGGCTGATGTGGCCACATGAGTGGGGAGTTTCCATGTGATCATCTCCATGGCCATTCTTCAGGTTTCATCTCCCTTGAAATATCCCCTCAACACTTAAGTCTGGGCTAGGTGCAGGGCCTCCCTCCTCAGGGATCCCTTAGCTCTCTGTTGTTATCCTATTGTCAATCATTAAAGCTCTATTTTAATTTTAATTCCTTGTTTGCTTACTTGCCTGCTCCATCTAGAGTTCTCGAGGGAGGCACTAGGTCTTGCTCCCTATTACATAACCAAGGCCAAGCCTTTAGTAGCGTCTCAAAAGTATTTGCCTAATGAATCTGTAATCCTCACTGGTACTGAGAGAGGGGAAGCAAAAATGACGGATGCTTCAAAGTCACTTCAGCTTGATCTTGCGATGATTTGTTTTCTGCAAATAAATTTTCTTGGCAGAAATACAGAATGAAAGTGCACTTGCTATGCATGTGCCCACTGATAATTCTGCCACTCAGTGTCAGACTTTTTTCTAAAACAGGCCACAACCAAGTCATGATCTTATCTACTTGCATGGGAATAATGGGGAGATGATTATCAGAGCCTCACAGCTGGCTGGAAAAATCCAGCGACTCGGAAGGCATATACAAGAAAGCTCAATCTGATCCACACATAATCACAACACCTGGTGTCCTGGACATTGGTTGTTTTGGCTGAATAGCACCCATTTTCCTTATTTCTCACCACAGTTCCTGGCAATCATATGGAACTCAAAAACACAGTCAACATTGACTGCAGTGGAACTGGGAGGTGGGCAGAGACTGGATTTGGGCAGACTGGATTGAATAAAAACCTGCCTGAGATTAGACCTACCCTCAACTTTCCATAGGGACCATTTAAAATCCCTATTGGCCGGGCGCGGTGGCTCAAGCCTGTAATCCCAGCACTTTGGGAGGCCGAGGCGGGCGGATCACGAGGTCAGGAGATCGAGACCATCCTGGCTAACCTAGTGAAACCCTGTCTCTACTAAAAAATACAAAAAAAAAAAAAAAAAACTAGCCGGGTGAGGTGGCGGGCGCCTGTAGTCCCAGCTGCTCGGGAGGCTGAGGCAGGAGAATGGCGTGAACCCGGGAGGCGGAGCTTGCAGTGAGCTGAGATCCGGCCACTGCACTCCAGCCTGGGCGACAGAGCGAGACTCCGTCTCAAAAAAAAAAAATCCCTATTAATTTAAGCCAGATATATCTGAAAAGCATACTCACAGGTGTTAGTGGAAAATCTGATGGTCAAGGGCAAGATCAGAGACCCTTGTGCTCCGTGAGGACAAGTGCTTCCAGAGCAACTAAAGACACAGATGATGTGAGCCTGGCTTTTGCACACAAGTCACACTGGTGCTGCCTCTCACTGGAGATGGAGGTGGAGACCTGCGCTCTTAGATGTGAGTTTTAGACCCTGCCTAGAGAAGACCTAGATGCTACTGGAAAGGCCTTGAGCTGTTCCTGACCCACTGCACTGTGGAACTATGTCGTTGGGGTCTGCAGACCCAAGTCCAGCACCATGGACAGACAGTCTAGCGTGCGAACCATGCAGAGGGGCCCCCAGGCAGCGCATGGCCTGGCAGCAAATCTGCCTGCAATGTGATTTTAGTATAAGAGTCAGACTCTTTATAGGCCCAGATGTGAAAAATCCTGAAACATCTAGGCTAACATAAATGGACACTTATGAGTAAATTTCTTCATCCACTTTTGGGTCTGGTTCCTCTTTTTTTATCTTTTCTTGGTTGACTAGAGTGAAACCCTGAAGTTTTTGTTCCTGGAACCAGAACACCCTTCTATTTAAACCACAGATTAGTACAGTTGGTTAACTCAGTCACCCAGGTTGGGAAAACCAATTGGTGTTCTCTCGTTCATGGTCTCAGACCGCAAATCTGAACCTAAGAGGCTGTTTTACAAAAGGCTGGCCTTGGGCACCAGGGTCCCAGGTGGGAAAGCATGGCAGACATGCCCAGGGTCATCACCGCTGCAAACACAGCTGAAAACACTGCTTTCATATTTCATCAAATATTGTTGAGGATGGTCTAATAAAGCCCTATATTGGTCCCACAGTACCTTCTCCTTTGTTATTGGTGTAATTAATTATTCTGATTTATATATATGAGGTAGGATCTTGCATCAAGTGCTTTATTGGGACCATCTTTTAACCAGGGTACAAACAGGTTGAATAAATTATTCCCCTGTGCTCGTCTTCTCTGTATTTGCCCTTTTGGGTAAGTAACGGAGAGTTTTCCATTTTGGGGCTTCGGTGACCCCTGTGGTGATGGCCTTCAATCCGGACTCTAAGCTGGACGTCTCCAGAAGCCCAGCTTAGTGTGTCAAGGAGTTGGGTGAAAATGGCCCCTTGGATTTCTTAACATCGTTTTAAATGTAACATGATTGAAATCAAATTCATCATATGTAGCATAAAAGTAGACTCTCTCAGCATCTTCCCTCTCCCTATCAATGTGACCACTTCCCAGTCCTCTGACTTCAGTCCAAACTGGAGATAATGCTAGCTCAGCCACTCTCCTATGTCTACTGTCACCAACTCTGCAATATTTCATGTGAAATAGCTCATCTTCTCCCCTCATCGTAATTCCTCCCACCACCCTGGTCTATGCCCAGCACGGTTCATGTCTAAATGATGCAGCAGCCCAGCTGCCCTCCCTGGGTCCTACCAACTCTAGCCCATTGTCCTCACTGAGACCAGATCAATTTCCCTAAACCTTCCCTTTATCCTATAATTCCACAACACTAAAAAAGTCCAGTGCCTTCCTATTGTATCACATTATAATGATGATGTCCCCACCTAGAATGCTTTTCTTTTCTGTCTTACAGCTCCTAGCAGCCCCTCTAGGGGGCCCACCCTTTCCATTCTAGTCCCTCAAGTAATCTCCCTCTCCTCTGAGCACCCACAATGCTCATGGTCCATACATAAGCTCAGCAAATAACCTACTATTTCCTATCTGTTCTGCTTATTTTCTTCTCAACCAGACCATAGCCCCCCTGATGGTGAGGACAAGGCTCTTTGTCTGCTCCATGTGTCTAGAAAAAGGCAGTCCATAAATATTTTTTGAGTCATCAAAATTGATTTATAACAACTGATTTATAACAATTGCAGAGAGAGAGCAGGAGACAGAGGGAAAGGAGAATGATGTACGGTTGTGTGTTGCTTAACGATGGGGATATGTTCTGAGACACGCATCTTTAGGTGACTTCGCAAACATCACAGAACGTGCTTATACAAATCTAGATGCTATGTAGCCTACAACACACCTAGGGTATAAGGGATAGCCTATTGCTCCCAGGCTACAAACTTGCACAGCATGTTACTGTACCGAATACTGTAGGCAGTCATACAGTGGTAAGTATTTGTGTACCTAAATATATCTAAATACAAAAGATGTATGGTAAAACTGTGGTATTATAACCTTAGGGGACAATCGCCATATATGTGGTCTGTTGTCTAAAACATCGTCAGGTTGTGCAGGGTTGTAATTCTAGGTCATCCCCATAACTATATAGATCTATTGCCTCTGGTCCTCTGTTGCCCTCCTCCTGAAGATTACTTTACCTGCAGAACTGAACCTCCTGGTCAAACTGTGAGTTTTCTGGCTGCGTCCCCTCCTTCAGCTGGCTGACGTTGAAAAAGGAGAGGGTGTGGTTGACAAAGCCGTGCAGAGTCCCATTGTGACTGTAGGAGTACTGGTACACCAGGCGGGGGATAAAGTCGGAGGTGATCGCAATGACAAAAGCCTGAGGGACAGAACCATAAGCACTGAGTAGCCAGGATTGATGCTAAAAAGGACTGTCCACTCTTAGACTGTCCATCTGAAGGAGCTGCTCTGACACAGAAGCTCATACAGCATGCGCAGGTCCCTGAGCTCATGCAGCTGAGTCACCTGCCTTTTCCATCTTTGATGTGTACAAGTATAATAAGTCCACCAGACAGTGGCTGCCAAAAGAGCACAAGTCAACCACTGCAGCAAAGGATGCTAAGTCAGTTTGGACCATTTGGTGCTGGAAGGATTGAAACCACCTCTGAGATATCTAACATTGCTGTTGAGCAAGCCCAAACAGAGTGAACGCTTTCCTGAGAAAATTACCTATAGTGATGAGGGTACTACATAAGTGTAATGGGCAAGGAAATGGAATGCCCATGTACTTCTGCCCCTGAGTGGTACCAGAAATCCAGAAATACCAAGAATATGATTCCACAGTTTGCTTCATTTGATCATTATCTCTCAACACTTTTTTAGCAAGTCATGTAATAGAAGTTATTCTTGTATCCATTTTACTTAAGAAAACGGAGACACAGCGGAGAAAGAAACAGGTCCTGCTAGATGGAGCCACACACACCCAACATAGTGTCTGGCATATCTAAGCGCTCTATAAATGTCCATGGAGCAAACCAAACGACAAATGAATGATTGCATATTTGAACGCAGAGGTACCTTCTGCAAAGAAAGTCTTCAATCTTTCTGGCAGGTGTTTATATTGCATCCTGCACCAACAATTAAAGCCCTTTACCAAAATGTAGTTCAGATATTGTTTTCTAAATGTGTATGTGAATATGAATGGCCAGAACCATATTTGAGAAGGAATAACATCGTAATCACAGCTACAACTTACTGGGCCCTCGTTATATGTCCTTTCATCATGCCATTTAATGTCCCAAATGATCTTATTTGGTGGGTACTATTATTATCTCCTGTTTGACAGATAAGTAAACAAGGCTTAAAGAGGCCAGGGAAGTAAGACTGCATGTCATTTCGTACTGTAGATGCAAAGTGATTAACACTCGGGGCCTCTGTTCTAGCAGACACAACTTCAAAGTAGCAGACTGATCTGTTTTCCCAACTGCACCTTATTTCTAAGCCTCGAGATGTGCACTTCCTACATCACAACATTCCAAATGCAGTGGGCTGATTTTTTTCTGCCTCACCTCACACCTTCCAGCCATTTTATGTGATCTTAGTAGGAAATCAGGTCAAATCACTGTTCGCCTCCCCAGGGAAAAGGGCTGTGGCTTTCTTGGTGTGCACTGAGCTGGCTGATACATTCCTGGGAGGTGGGACAGGAGGCCCTTCCTGGCCACTGTCCATATAAGAACACAGCAGAAGAGGAGCTGGCTGGGGCCCAGCAGGATTTCCTCTGCAGTGTAGACACGTCTGGCAAGAGAGTTAAGGAAGTCACCACAGGTGGGAGCCTTCTTCTTCTATGTCCTATCTTAACCTACGCAGTGCCAGAGTCCTTGGAGATAATTAAGACTTTGCACTGACAACCTGGAGGAACTGTAATTAGGGACTGCAGCCTGGGCAATGCTCCATGCATTGTTTAACTCAGGAGTAGAATAAGAAAGGAAAGAGATGAACAGATATGTGGAATTCTTTCCTCCTCATTCTTGGCTCTGAGGAGAGATCTGATTTTGACTGTCAGGGCCAAGGTATGCATTCTGATGGATAATTACCTTTCTCCTTGTGAAATTAAAAATAAACCTACACAGCCTTAGCGACAGCACGATGAGTTACAAGGCATTTGTGAGCTGTTAACCAGAGTGCTGTCACCAATAAAGCTCCAAATGGAAAAGGCTGGGGAGGTGCAAGGGCTGGCTTCCCACTTTGAAGACCTCAGCTTCTCTGGAAGCCCTTCCCACAGAGCGAGTGCGTCATGAATGTAAGTACTCACATTGCTGATAACAGAGAACTTGCCAATTCCAGAGAGAATGTCAAACCAGATTCCTACAAGACAGAAAAGACAGCGTCTGGCTCACTCCCACCCTCGGCCCAGTGATGACAAGGCTGAAGCTCCGGGTGATGTTTCGCAGGTGAACTACCGAGCAGCTTTGCTGGGCCCCCCAGAATGGGCTTGTCTGGAAAGGCTTAGGTAGCCCCCCTGTCTGGAAGCTCAGATCACAAGTGGGGGTGGATAATGTGGTCTCAGAAGGCGTCCCTGCACCTCACGATACGAGGATGAGGGACCCAAAGGGAAGAGGGGCTTTCGCAGCCCTCTTGATTCCTGGTGTGGTGTGACTGTGTCCACAGGGAACAGAATGACAGAAGGATGGGCCTGGTGGGACCTCTAAGGAGGGCACATACCGATATCTTTGGTTCTTACAGCATCCGGCCGTCTCAGCTCCGTGACAAACTTCTTGGCGTCCAGCCGCACTTCAATGACATTGTTGAGGAGGGCGAACACAGGTGCCAGGGGAAAGGAGGCCACAAAGAGGGTGACGAAACCAAACTGGATGACTGCCAGAGAGAACAGCATGAGGGCTTCAGCAGGGACAAGCAGGACTCAGGTCCCTTCTGGCTCGCAGCTACGGCCCCTTGTCCTTTCTTCCTTGGGTCTCTTTCCCATATGGGGTGATTTTTAGCCTCCCTTTTCCTCCTGTGCCACATACACGGTATTTCTTTCTAAGTACCTGCAGGCCTGTGGGTCAATGCCATCACTTGGGAGCAAAGCTCTGGATTAGGCATGGTGGGGAGATATGAGAAAAAAAAAATGTCTTAATTCCTCCCTTCACCCTTTACCGCCAGTCACTAATCCTACTGATCTAACTCAGGGGTTGGTAAACTTTTTTAGTAAAAGGCCAGATAGTAATAAACATTTTTGGATTTGCAGGCCATATGGTTTTGTTACAATGACTCAACTCTGCCATTATACAGTAAAAGCAGCTATAGACAGCACATCAACAAGTGGGCTTGGCTGAGTTCCAATAAAACTTGATTTACAAAAGCAATATATAAAGTGGCTAGATTTGGCCTACAGGTCACAGTTTGCCTACCCTTGATATAGCTTTAAAAACCACCTCCCAAATTTGGACTCCTCTTTCCATGTCTACAGTCACTGCCTTTGTTTATTCACCGGCCGGGCGCGGTGGCTCACGCCTGTAATCCCAGCACTTTGGGAGGCCGAGGCAGGCGGATCACGAGGTCAGGAGATCGAGACCATCCTGGCTAACACTGTGAAACCCCATCTCTACTAAAAAATTCAAAACAAAATTAGTCAGGCGTGGTGGCGGGTGCCTGTAGTCCCAGCTACTCGGGAGGCTGAGGCAGGAGAATGGTGTGAACCTGGGAGGCGGAGCTTGCAGTGAGCTGAGATCGCGCCACTGCACTCCAGCCTGGGTGACAGAGCGAGACTCCATCTCAAAAAAAAAAAAAAAAAAAAAAAAAAAGTTTATTCATCCATCATGCATTTATGGAGAGCTCACTAAATGTCAGGCCCCGTACCAAGTATTTAAGGAGGCAAAGGTCTGGTCTTGCCTGCAAGAAACTGGGTTTGAAAGGGGAGAGTTAAATGTAGGCAAACACATGCAACAAGGTTTTATGTGTTCCAAGAAAGAATAAAGAATGTACTAGTGATAGAGAAGACCCAAATGGAGGGGAACACACATCTGTTCAGGGCAGGGACTGAAGGGGGTCTCCATGCAGAGCCCCTGAGCACAGTCTGGAAAGATGGGCATGTAGTTTTCATGAGGATCAAGTCAGAGACCTTCTAAGCTGCGGAAGCAAAAGCGTGGCGTGACAACCCATGCCCATCAGACAGCCGGAAACAGTCCAGCCCTACCTGGACCATTGCAACAGCCTCCTGATGGGGTTTCTTGTCACCAGTCTCCCAGAATGCTAGAGTCTATCCAGCACACAGCCCCTGTCATCTGATTCTGTTATCTACCTGCTTATAAAAATTCCTGTTGGCTCCACTCTGTTCACTGAATATAATCCAAATTCCCTAGCACTGCATACAGGCGCTTTATAATCTGCCTCCAAGCTGCCTCCTTAGCTTCATCTCCCAGCATCTCCCCAGCAACGACCATGGTCCTGCCTTCTCACCCTCCTAACTGTCCCCTGCCACATGAGTTCCTTCCACTCATTTGTGCACAAGCATCCACTCTCCGGCTGGCAAGCTTCTGTGCATCCCTGAGATCACTCAGATGCCACCTCCTTGGTGAAGCCCAATCCTTCCTCCTCTGGTCCCCACCGCCCCGTGTTCAGGCCTCTGGTGCAGCCTTCACTGCATGCTTCTGTGATTGACTTGCTCATATATCTTTATTTCCCAGTGAGAAGGTAAGACCTCCATCCCCTCTAGGGGTTCAGTACATATTTGCTGATGGAAACACAACCCAGAGTCCAGGAAAGTTACAATGTTCTAGGACTCCCCTACATACTAAGGGCAAATTATTAAACTTTTCTGTGCTTCAGGTACTTCAACTATAAATTGAAGATAATAGTAATAACCACCCAGTAGGGTTTCCAGACGGGTAAATTACATACAAAATATGTACAATGTACATACAATGTACAATATGTACAATGTCAGATACATAACTGTTGAATAAACGGTATCTATTATGTGTAATTTTATTCTTATTGGAATAAATATCATGTACAGATGACTGCAATGTACTTATATGCTAAACAGACACAAACTTAAGGATTAAGCACTGAATGAGAGAGACTCAACTTCTAGACCTGGATATGCTTCTAACTAGAGGTATGACTTTGGCCAAGCCTGTTTGTTTCAATGGGCATCCGCAACCTCATTGATAAATTGAAGGGACCAGTTTATATTGCCTCCAAGTCTGATTTGCTGTGATGCTATGGTTCACATTGTCTTAGACAAGCTTCACGAGTCTAGAATATTCAAATAAAGCATGACAAAACATGACACGAATGGGAAAAAAGTTCCATTTCTACAGAGGCATAAGAGCAACCACAACAGAAGTTCCAGGAAAGGGAACAGGCAAGGAACTTTCCCCAGCCCAACTGCTTTTGGTTTGGCTGTTTGCTCAGCCCACAGCTGTGGGTCACTGCTCTGGCTGATTCAACCCTGTCCACTGCCATTGTCCTTGGTGCCCAGTAGGTTCCAGCAGGCCTTAGGAGGCTGGCAGGTGCTGATTGACAGCAAGACGCCTGCATCGAAAGACACATATTTGTCCAGGTTGGGACCTTAGAGTGATCACCTGACTAGCTGGCTGGCCAACAAGGATTGGAGGGTGGTGGAGAAATCCCCCAAAACAAGCTCTGGGAGCCCGTTCAAAATGCAGGCGCTCTCTCATCTTTTAAATAAGGCTTTGCTGAGGAATTCACGTTGGAGTCAGGAATGGGGATAAGGCCAGAGGGGGTGTGGGGATGAATGGAATTAACAAGAAAAGGAAAACAGATGTTAGACTAGCATTCTAAAACCTGTAAAATGCATGTCTGTGTTTAAGTGTATGGATGGATGTATATTTATGGAGTTATAAGTTGGTCTTCTTGATTCTAATGAGCTCAGTTCAGCAGGCATATGTTCTTATCATGAGTGACTTCCGCCAGCAGAACTGTGCAAACTCTCCAGAGCCTCCGCAAGGGTTTGGCAAGGAGACTGATGGGGAGGGAGAAGGGCAGTTTACTTCTGAGGGATTGCAAATGTACACAGCATGCCCTCACCACATTCGTGCACGTGGTACTCTGAAATCTAACTTCCTTCCAGGGTTATAGGGAAAATGGGACTCTCCACTTCCTCTTCTCTCTTCATATGAACTCCAGAGGCAGACATGAATGCTGTCTTCTACGGGTTCCCTGCTGGTTTGCTTCTTTACCTTCACAAACTCTCCACACATGGACTCTGTTGTCCCTCTTCTGTCAACACAAACATCTTCCAGTGCTGGCTCGATGCTCTCTAACAGCTCCTGTTCATTACCCCAGTCCCATAACAAAATGTCCCTCCTCCTTCCCCTCACCATTTAAGTCTCTATATTCAGCACTGGATGGCCTCAAGAGACTGGGCCCAGCAATGCTGGACCCGAAGTGACAAGATCCTCCTGTCCCCTCCTCTGGTGTTACTCCATGGTATCCTGGGCCAAGAATAGGCCCTCTCTGCAGACGTCCCATTGCTGCAGGTGCTGCTTGCTCAGACTGGGTAACCTGAGCATTGCCAGGATTCAACCCAAAGAGGCAGAAACAAATAGGAAGTTTTGTTCTATTTGGGGGAGAATAAAACATAAAACCATAACTCTCTAGCATGCAGATTCCAAATCCAAGATTTGCTCTTTTTAGTCAAAGGTCTAAAATGCTGAATCAGATGGAAGTCCTTCTGGGCTTACTTCAGAGGATACAATGATACCAGCTTTTGCCAACACCAAGATTTGTTTCTAAAAGCAGCAAGCCTCCATTAGGATAAGAGCAACACCGGAAATCCTCAGTGTGCTGCGTAATAGAAGCCACAGCTCGGCCTGACCAGTAACAGATTAAACCAGGCCAAGCCAATTAGGGAGAAAACTTTGAGCTGATTTTCAACCAAATCTTTACAACGCCTGCTGTAAAATGCTCCAGTAATGCTGAGCTCAAAGGCTGGAAACTCCTCCATGCAAACCCCATTCGTTTTCTCCTCTCACCCTTCAGCAGCCAAGGATCTTCTAGAATAACCATCAGCCCTACACTGCCTGATGCTGGAGACATTTCCTATATCAGTGATTTTCTGAGTTTAGGTTAAAATAACAAGGAGGAGTGGGTTAAACTAACCAGAACAACATTCAGCAAGGAGGTTTCAGGACAATCTGTTTAGAGAACACAAACAGTATAGTAGATAAAATAGAATGGACTTGCCGGGATTGGTGGAGAAGATTTTGATGGAATACAATTCTGATTTTTCACTCATTTATTTAAAATTTTTCAGTGAACATATCCAGACCCATTTCCTCCCAACCCATATTCTGTGCTAAGGGCAAATATTTAGCAAGTATGTTGGAGATCAACTCCGCCTGCCTTCCAACCATTCCAAAATCATTTGTACTTCCCCAAACTCACCATGAATTCTACATTTCTGAGCCTTGGTACACGCCACCATTGTCTGTAATTTTCCTTCTTTCCTTGTCTGCTGAGTGGGATGCTATTCATCTCTCAGGCTCAACTCAAACTTCACCTTCTGTATGAAGACTCCTCTCCACCTCCATTTCCCACCAGCACACCCAGGTGGAACTGGGTGCCTTGGGCATCTCTCATCCTTACTCCCATAATGCCTTGCACGTGCCTCTCTGTTTATTTGACCTGCTCCCTAGATGGAAAGCTCCTTGAGACCAGGTGTCTTGTTTGATTCTTTTCCAAGTCCTCACTCACCATCTTTTGTGGTGCCTCTTACATAGCAGATGCTCAAAGAGTATCTGTTTCATAAATCTGACCTTATTTTCACCAGTTGTGAAATACACACACACACACGGCCAAAAATGAAAGTGTGTGAACTGAAAGCATTGCACTTGATGATGGTGAAA